AAATGAAGCATTGAAAAAATATGAACATTTGCTATGTATATGAATGGTATGAAACTTGTTTTTATGGGGTTTTTTAGGTCACCTGAGGTGACCTATTGCTATCCGTTTTCGTCCGTCATCGTCCGTCGTGCGCCGTGTGTTATCATTTGAATATTTTCAGCTTCTTCTCTGAAACCACTGAACCAATTTCAACCAAATTTGGTATACTGCATCTATGGGTGGAGGGGAACAGAAATTGGGAATTTCATGGTCCCCGCCCCCCTGGGGCCTGAGAGGTGGGGCCAAAACCACTAAAATTAATGAAATCTTTAAAAATCTTCTTCTTTACTCCTGGACATCAAGCAGGCAAACTATTGGCATGAATGTAATGAGCATTGAGTCCTCTACCAAAATTGTGAAATTCATGGCCCCAGGGTCAGGGGTTCTAGTGCTAGGGTGGGGCTCTATAGATTATAAAGTGAAAATGCATTATTTGTTTGAAAATCGTCTTCTCTGCTCCTGGGTATTAAATACGCTAACTAAGCACATAGTTATGATGAGCAAGAGTGCCTCTTCCAGATTTGTGAATTTCATGGCCGCAGGGTCAGGGGTTCTGGTGTTAGGGCGGGACTCTATAGATTATATAGTGTAAATGCATTATTTCTTTGAAAATCTTCTTCTCTGCTCCTGGGTATTTAATAAACAAATTAAGCACTTATGATGAGCAAGAGTGCCTTTTCCAGATTTGTGAATTTTATGGCCCCAGGGTCAGGGGTTCTGGTGTTAGGGCGGGGCTCTATAGATTATATAGTGAAAATGCATTATTTCTTTGAAAATCTTCTTCTCTGCTCCTGGGTATTAAATACACTAAATAAGCACATAGTTATGATAAGCAAGAGTGCCTCTTTCAAAATTGTGAATTTATGGCCCCAGGGTCAGGGGTTCTGGTGTTAGGGCGGGGCTCTATAGATTATATATTGAAAATGCATTATTTCTTTGAAAATCTTCTCTGCTCCTGGGTATTAGATAAACAAACTAAGCACATAGTTATGATGAGCAAGAGTGCCTCTTTCAAAATTGTGAATTTTATGGCCCCAGGGTCAGGGGTTCTGGTGTTAGGGCGGGGCTTTATAGATTATATATTGAAAATGCATTATTTCTTTGAAAATCTTCTTCTCTGCTCCTGGGTATTAGATAAACTAACTAAGCACATAGTTATGATGAGCAAGAGTGCCTTTTCCAGATTTGTGAATTTTATGGCCCCAGGGTCAGGGGTTCTGGTGTTAGGGCGGGGCTCTATAGATAATATAGTGAAAATGCATTATTTCTTTGAAAATCTTCTTCTCTTCTCCTGGGTATTAAATACACTAAATAAGCACATAGTTATACCCCCCGCAAACGAAGTTTAGGGGGGGTATATTGGAATCACCATGTCCGTCTGTCCGTCTGTCTGTCTGTCCAGCTGTCTGTCTGTCTGTAGACGAGATTTTGTCCGGACAATTTCTCAAAAACTATTGGAAGGATTTGTCTGAAAATTTATACACATATTATTCACCATATGAAGGTGTGCACCTGCTATTTTCATCTTGATTGGATGATTATTTTGAATTTTACAGGTGTTTTTTCATTTTTATTTTGTGGTCTTGTGCAGACCGTTTCTCACAAACTGTTGCAAGGATTTATCTGAAAATTTGCACACTTATTATTCACCATATGAAGGTGTGCATCTGGAATTTTCAATTTTATTTGTTTATTTTTCTGCATTTTACAGGTTTTACTTTTTATTTAAATTGACTTGTTCATTTTGGGCTCATTTATAAGGTTTGAGAGATAGAATCTAAAATATCTGTACAAAAATGTGAACTAGTACAGCTTAAAACAACTCATTAAAACTAAAAAAAAGAAACATCATCAAGTGTTTAAAACAGTTTTTACATTACATAGAAGATAATGTAAATTCATTTGTCTCTTGGGAATAATGGCTGGACATGCATCCAGTTAAAGATAAATTAATGAGTTTGGTGTTGGAGGTTGTTAAGGCATATCTCTTATCAAGCGTGTGTGTGTTATCAAATCTCCAGGGAATAAGGCACAAGAATTAAAGATCTCTCTTCTCTTATTCTCTTAATTGTAATTTATTGTCTGTCAAAGCACTTCATTACTGGATGACCAGCTTTTTATTTTCAAAATGAATTTGATATATCAAGATTAATTTGATTTTGTATAATGATTTTTTTTTCAACAATTAGTTTGCAGAGTGTCATGACACATAATTGCAATATATTTCTTTAATGCAGAAATAAAAAAATGTTACGATTGAATTACAATGTATAGGTATTGATGTTTCGTTTGGTTGCACTTTTGTTTCAATCATTAAGAAACATAATGAGCACTTATATTTAACTGTAAATTTTTATAAGTAAATAGTGAACACCTCTAGATCCATAAAGTATTTTCGAATTGGCACCTTCTCTGAAAAACCAGCGGGGGGTATTTGTCCCTATTGGACAGTTCTAGTTATGATAAGCAAGAGTGCCTCTTCCAAAATTTTGAATTTTATGGCCCCAGGGTCAGGGGTTCTGGTGTTAGGGCGGGGCTCTATAGATTATATAGTGAAAATGCATTATTTCTTTGAAAATCTTCTTCTCTGCTCCTGGGTATTAGATTAATTAACTAAGCACATAGTTATGATGAGCAAGAGTGCCTCTTCCAGATTTGTGAATTTTATGGCCCCAGGGTCAGGGGTTCTGGTGTTAGGGCGGGGCTCTATTGATTATATAGTAAAAATACATTTATTCTTTGTAAATATTTTTCTTTGCTTCTGCGTTTTAAGCCAATGATCCAAGTATATATATATTTATGATGAAGAAAGGTGCATCTAGCAAAGTGGTTTTTAATGCCCCCAGGGTCAAAGAGGGGGGGGGGGGGGTTTACATAGCCTGAAAATAAATTAATGCTTTGAAATCTGCTCTTTGGTATTAATCAACCATTTTATGATAAAATTTGCAAAATGTTGAAATATATGGCCCTGGGTCAGTGGTTCCTTTGGGGTGAGGTGCACTACTGGTTATAAAGTGGAAGTGCATTTTCTCTTTGTTACTCTGATCTACCTCTGGGTATTAAGTAAATAGAGTAAGCATGCTAAGTTAATAATTATTATAAGCAATGGTGCCTCTTTCAAAATTGTAAATTGTGAATTTCATGGCCTCCGGTTTAAACACGAACCAAATTTAATTGTTTGAAAGTTGTTGCACAATACTCAGGTGACCTATTAGGCCCGTGGGCCTCTTGTTTTATTTGTTGACAAATACATGTTATATGATATACATGTACATTTTGTAACTTATATAAATGTTTCATACTAAGTTGTAGTATGGAAACACTGAGCACTTTAGCTTATAATTATAATAATGTCTAATTCATTATCAAGATTAAAAACCTGAGTGTTAACCTTTTTTTTCGGTCATGATATCTGAAATCCTCAATTTGTGCATTTATTCTGAAAAAAAAAATGGAATAAGATTTTAGCAGTAGACTAATGCTTGGGCTGCGTTGGGAAATAATAGAAAAAATTAACAGTTACTAACCAACAGCAAATTTGCCCTATTTTTAACATATCTAATGAGCTGTCAATGTTAACCTTACCCAATAATCATATACATTGTAGATTAAATAATCCAAGGTTAAAACCCTAATATGCACTCACACTAACTGCTCTTCGATATTAAACAAAGTCATCATTTGCACTCCCTTAATGTGATGATACACTTCCAAATATAATATTTTTATTTCAGCATCATTAAATTCTTATGTATCATTTATCTGTTGTAGAAAAATGGGTACACTTGAATGTCTGTTCTTCTAAAAAAAAAAATCATACACACACCAAACAACATATGCAAACAAGTAACCAAAAAAAAAAATTTAAATAAAAAAATAAAATTCTTAATTATTTAATAATTAAAACTTAATCATATAATTATAGTGGTCTTTGCTCTGTCATTTAAAATCTGATGATTAGGATGACATAAATTATACTTGATCCTTTGAAAAACCATGGATAAGCCATACACACACAATTGGATACTGTATAGGGGATTAATTTCACGGGTTGTAATATTCACGGTTTTCTCTCATCTGACACGATCGCGGTTTCTTGAGTTCGCGGAATTTGGTATGTAAAAAAAGTTACTTCCCTTATCTCCATTTAATCCATACCATAACTACATGTAAACGATATTAATCAGCGTTATGTCTTTATTTCACGAACAACAGGGTAAGTTATTATAAAATTGTTAGATTTTATAAATAATTGATTAACACAAGTGCAGTTATTAATAGTCCCTAAACGTTAAATGACTTTCCTTTATGCTATTACGATAAGAGCATGTGCACCCGAAATCTTCAATACAACGCAGCGAAAAACTACTGGACGGAAATAAAACTTTTTATGTAGTTCTACGTTCTACGAAATAATATCCTTCCACACTTTCTTCGTCAGTAAGTTCGATATTTATCTGAATGATTTTTAAAACCAAAATGTAGATAAAAACTACATGAACTAATATGCATGAGAATGCAGGTAACAAATACATGTGGTAACATTAGTTACGCACGGGTAATCAACTACGTGTTTTGATTGAAGAAACATGTAGCGTTGGCTATTAAAACAGCTTTTGAACAAACACAAGTTATTATCTGCCGATTTGAATTAAAGTAAAGCGTGATAATTAAGATTAATTGATTGACAGTACTACTCGCAATGACTGAAATGACCATGAACTGCACGCACACCTATACAAATCTATCGTAGTCTATTCTCAAATTTCCAAATAAAACATGGAGATTATTGGAAATTTATTCACTGTTTCTTGAATTCACGGATTTGTTAACACCGTGAATATAGCGAATATTAACATCGCAAGTTATTTTCCCCCTATACAGTATTTTAATTAATATATTTTCAATTTTAAAAAAGTAAACATTGAAGCAAGTAAGATGATGACGTTTGAATTTTTCAGCCAAGAAGTAAATCCAAACATCTCAGGGAAGGACTCATCATCATCTCAATTGTCTACAGGATCGAGTGAGAGTGATAGTGAGAGCTCAGACGTGGACGGAACTAGTGTGACTGAGACATCAGTGGACTCAGATAGCGAGATCAAGTATAAGGTATGAGACAGAATGAGTGTGACTCAGATAGTGAGATCAAGTATAAGGTATGAGTCACTCTCTACCATTGGCTCATACATTCACCTCTGTCGTTGGCTCGCCTATATCACAGTGATAAACACGAGAAATAATGCGTTTGTTTTAATTCATTATAAATGAATTTATATGCTTATGTTTGAGTTTTGAGATAGATATTTACTAAATCAATCCAGAACTATTAAATAAAATTGAAAATCTGGCAAATATCACGTTTTATACGTTATATCAAAAATCTTGACGTGAGCCCACTGCAGAGGTGTCTGAGAGAGGAACGAGCGATAACTCTGCATTGGAGATTGGGTATGAGTGTGACTCAGATGGCGAGATCAAGTATAAGGTACGAGACAGATCTAGAACATGTAGAAAGAGTGTAATAGAAACTCATAGGATTTTGAGTTTCAGGTATAATGAGACTGTGTTGGTCTCTGCAAGATCAGTTTGTAATTATGAAGGTAAATATACATGTATTATAAGAGTCAGTTTAGTTTGTTGGTGATAGGTAGGATTAATAGAATTTGAATTTGAAAGGAAAATTCTAAATTAAAAGATCACAGATTTTAAAAAAAAGCAAACTAAGAGAAAATTGAAAGACCTTATCCTTTACATGTAACAACTGGGACAGGATAGAATAACAATATTTTCAAAATAATTTAAATTTAATGTTGAAAAATGTTGAATTTCTGAAAAAAATGTTATTTTGTTATTGTTCACAGGGATTCCAAAGTATCAAGACTTCAGAGCGACAATTTCCATCTTACTCCCAGGATTATGGACAAGAACTCCACAAGTATACACCCAATCACAAAGATACATGGATGTATGAAAGGTAAGGATTGGATGTTTTATGTATCCAATCACAAACGTTAAGACATAAGGATGTATGAGGTATAAATATTGAATATAGTGTATATTAAATGACAATGACACATGGATATATGTAACGTAATTACATGTATTAGAAGTAGTATAACCCAATCACAGCGACTTATTACGGATGTCAGTATTTAGAATGTACATCATTTTCATGCCAGAATCTAAAAAGTGAAGTTAGATTGTTCAAATAGATTATCATGGTACTTGCATCATTGATTGATGGTCTGCAGAGTATGAAATAAAAATAAAATCTTTCTTGATGTTGATTTTTTTTTCAAATATTCTGCTCTATTGTAATAGACTGATAATTGGTACATGTGTCTGTATGATTTTAGTATATTATTCCTCTCATTCTTTCACTTTATCCTAGATTAAACGCTTATCAAGTTCTTAATATGAATGTCAACATGAAACTTATCTGCTTAAACTTGGTCAAAATGTGGACTTGAAATTGAATCATAGGATGAATCAATTAGTTTGCAATATTTTGATATGTGGAAATAACTGATCGAAGAATTTTTTTTCTCATATTTCTAGATATGTGAAGATCAGTGAAGTTTGTCAGACCCCACCAAAGAGAGAAGAAAAAGGAGTGACAACAGGCAGTATTATAGAGAACTTAGTGTGAGTATGTCATAGAGAGGTGAGACAATGGGCAGTATTATAGAGAACTTAGTGTGGGTATTCTATATAGAGAAAAGAGAACCTAGTGTGATAATGACACTTTGTCATAGAGAAAAGAGCTATTATAGAGAACTAGTTTGAGAATTTCATAATGGCACAGGCTGAGTGGGTGGGTGGGGGGTGGGGTGGGGGGGGGGGGTAACAACAGGCAGTATGATAAAGAACTTAATGTTTGTCAGAGAGAAAATAATAATAACTTGCAATATTTATAGAGTACTTAATGTGTGTCACAGAGAAAGTTATAAAAACTGTCAGTAATATAGAAAACTTAGTGTGAGTGCCATACAGAAATAAGTGACAAATGGCAGTATTATAGAGAGGTCTGAGTATGTAAAGTTTGTCCATAGAGAATTTTGCATTAGTGTGTCCGTAAGTCCGAGACTTAAAAATTGTGTCGGACTAGCAGATTTTGTAAGGTACTAGTCCGTACGGACTAGTGCAAATCCAGATATAAGTCTTGAATTGGTTCACATTTTATTAATTTTATTTCTGAGTCTCGTAGATGTTTGAAAATAAATGAGAAACGCAACCACGATAAAGCGTTTTCTACATTGTGATCAATAGACAAAGACGTGTGTGGAGATCAAAGTTGAAAACCCTATTTTGATGTGTGGACACATATTTCATTGAATTAATTGATAAAATTTTAAGATTTGTATTATTTTTTTTACATACTATAGTAATAGGTTAAAGTAATTAAACAAAAAAAAGTTAATTTCAACATGTTAATCATTTATTTTTTGCCTTCAGAAAATGATACATGTAAATTAAAATAATTAAACAATTAACAACAATTACTCATTGTTTTAGGTTCCCTAAGAGTGTGTTTAAGCTGGGCAGTAGTTATGGAGTAGAACCACCTCCTGTTAACAAGCAGGACCAGGATATTTACAACCATTTTGTTTTCGTTGGTTCCCATGGTCCAGGGGAACCAAGCAAAAAGGAGATACAGTTCTACAACAAATACCTTAACAAGTTTCATTGACCACAGGAAGTTAAATTTTAATGTGAGTGCTGAAGGAAATACATGTACAATAAAACATCATTATCTCCACAAAAAAAAAAACTGGGTGATCATTGGTTGCATGTCCTAAGCAGACCAAAAATACAGTTTTCTGAAACTTAATTGAAGCAAGAAAAAACTGGAGAGATCAAGGGTAGAAAACTTAAGAACAGGATATTGGGACTTCAAAATCACTTGGATATATCAATGTTCAAAATATAGGTGTTAGAGATACCAAAGTTTAACTGTTAATGAAGTTTCTCTACATGTGTTAAGAAGGTAATACATTGACAATCAAGTCAATTCTAGAAACTCAATAAGCTTCAGTAGAATCATCAGTGGTCTTGGGGGACCTGCTGTGTTTGTGGATTTTGTTGGTCACAAATTCCATGAATTTACACCCCCACAAACAAATCTTTTGTCCATATTTTTATCTTTTTTGTATATGAGGTACCTTAAAAGAACTATGTTTCTTTGAACCAACAAAATTTTGCATACCCATAAACATTGACCCCAAGGAATTCAATGACTCCACAGTGTGTGTTGAGATGCAACAACTTTAATTTGCTTTATCTCACCATTGTACATGTAAGTGTAGGTTATAGCCTTGAAGGAAAAATGTTTTAATGCAGGCAATGTGATTTTTTTTCTTAAAACACATCAATAAATGCTATTCTGAACCTTGAATAAGGAAATCTTATTTGTAAATGTTTAACCAAGCTCAGTATGAGTCTTTTAGTGCCATATTGTTTTTATTTACTTAAGTGTGTGCAATATTAATTATTGTTATTTTTAAACATTTGTTACAATGTACAAATATTTGTAAAAAATAAAGAAATTGTTTATAACTTCATTTGTTTTTGACCTTATTAGATAAGATTTAGATGATACACATTTATTGGCTGAGTTCAAGGGCAACAGACTAAGGGAGAATAATAAGACAAATAAAATTTCATCAGAAGAGGCCCATGGGCCACAATGCTCACCTGAGTAACTTTGGCCTGGTTGTTCCTCACCAGATTCCTTGTTACACCTTTTGTTGCCCAACACTATGATTTGAATAAATTTAGAATGTACACTACCGTAGGATGCTTCCACATATTTTAAATTTTCCTGGCCCAGTGGTTCATGAGAAGATTTTTAAAAATTTTTCCTATATGTTTAAATGTAAAACTTTGATTCCCCATTATGGCCCTACCCTAACCCTGGGGGTCGATCATGATTTTAACAATTTAGAATCTACGCTAACATGGGTATTTCCACATAAGTTTCAACTTTCCTGGCCAAGTGGTTCTTGAGGTGATCATTTTTAAATTTTTAGCTCACCTGAGCCGAAGGCTCAAGTGAGCTTTTCTGATCACATTTATAGTCCGTATTTCCGTCTGTCTGTCTGTCTGTCTGTCTGTCTGTCCGTCTGTCTGTCCGTCTGTAAACTTTTCACATTTTCGACTTCTTCTCAAGAACCACTGGGCCAATTTTGACCAAACTTGGTACAAAGCATCCTTGGGTAAAGGGGAATTTAAATTGTTAAAATGAAGGGCCAAGCCCCCTCACAAGGGGAGATATATATTGAAGAAAAGACAAAAATAGGGTGGGGTCATTAAAAAATCTTCTTCTCAAGAACCACTGGGCCAGAAAAGCTGAAACTTATGTGGAATTGCATCCTGGGTTAATGTAGATTCTAAATTGTTCAAATCATGACCCCCGGGGGTAGGGCAGGGCCACAATGGGGAATCCAAGTTTTACATAGAAATATATAGGAAAAATCTTTGAAAATCTTCTTCTCAAGAACCACTGGGCCCTTAGAGCTGAAACTTATGTGGAAGCATCCTGGGTAGTGTAGATTCTAAATTGTTCAAATCATGACCCCCGGGGGTAGGGCGGGGCCACAATGGGGAATCCAAGTTTTACATAGAAATATATAGGAAAAATCTTTGAAAATCATCTTCTCAAGAACCACTGGGCCAGAAAAGCTAAAACTTATGTGGAAGCATCCTGGGGTAGTGTAGATTCTAAATTATTCAAATCATGACCCCCGGGGGTAGGGCGGGGCCACAGTGGGGAATCCAAATTTTACATAGAAATCTTTGAAAAATCTTCTTCTCAAGAACCACTGGGCCCTTAGAGCTGAAACTTATGTGGAAGCATCCTGGGGTAGTGTAGATTCTAAATTGTTCAAATCATGACCCCCGGGGGTAGGGCGGGGCCACAATGGGAAATCCAAGTTTTACATAGAAATATATAGGAAAAATCTTTGAAAATCTTCTTCTCAAGAACCACTGGGCTCTTAGAAAAGCTGAAACTTATGTGGAAGCATCCTGGGGTAGTGTAGATTCTAAATTGTTCAATTCATGACCCCCGGGGGTAGGGCGGGACCACAATAGGAAATCCAAGTTTTACATAGAAATATATAGGAAAAATCTTTGAAAATCTTCTTCTCAAGAACCACTGGGCCAGAAAAGCTAAAATTTATGTGCACATGGAAGCATCCTGGGGTAGTGTAGATTTCAAAATGTCTAAATTATTATCAGTGAGGTAGGGTGAGGTCGCAGTATGTAATGAACGGAAGCAGCTGTTGTAGAAAAAATTAAAGGGGGAAATCTGGTAAAGAACAGAATGGTCAAAGCTTCTCAGGTGAGCGATGTGGCCCATGGGCCTCTTGTTTCTAATATACAACATGTGATCAGAAAAGCTCACAGAAGCTTTCAGCTTAGGTGAGCTAAAAACTAAATGTGTTTGTAAAACACTGAATCAGATGCTTTTCCAAGGCCATTCATGTACATGTATATATTAATACTTAAAGAAAGGTCATCTTACAAGAAATTCACATGTAAAATATAAAACCCTTATCACTAATCGTTCAAAAGTAATGATCAACTTCAAGTTTTTTCAGAAGGCAGTTAACTCCAATTTCATAAGGTAGCAAATTCGGCATGCAAGGAAAGGTCTGGCCTAGGGGCCTTAAAACTTAGACGAGCTCACTTTTGATCTCAGTCTCACTTTTGCCAAAGGAATATATAGCGGAAAAGTGAGACTGAGATCAAAAATGAGCTCGCCTAAGTTTTATGGCCCCCAGGCCTGGTCAACAAAAAAACACTTTTTAAATATGAAAGCCTTAGTACCAATTTATGGCCAAGGTTAAAGGTTTTTATAATAAAAATGTCTGTATCCAAGAAAAGGTCTTGTGGTACGGACTATTTCTAAATGCACTTCTGAAGAGTGAAATTCTTGGGCACTATATATTGGTAGATTAATTTTTGGGAAAGTTTTAAGTTAGGCAAAAATTTTCTAAAGTTAGTCAAAAGTCTTAGTTTAAAGTAGAGTTTTAAAAATTGCTGTTTTTAAGGTGTTTGAACAAGTGTTAAACAAGTTTGTTTTCCATTTTTATTGCAGTTGTATACATGCAAGCATAAAATATACTGTGCATATGATTTAGGTCTTTCTAGGAAATATGATTATATAATATATATCATAATAAATATAACACTTAAAGCTTCCTTGTATATAACTTTTACATCATTCATACATGTAGATGCAACAATACAATGTATAGACATTTTGAAACTTCCTTTAAGTAGGCGTGCCCGGTGCATTTGACATGGACATGTAAATCTAGACTACTAAGCAACAAAGGGGAGAATTTTAACATTGATAAACATAACGATCATTGGATAAATCATGAATTCTTCCGTTGGCTATGCTGTTGCGGAATGCAATTCTTATTTTTCACATGCGCTGTCATTTAATAATTCCATTATTGTAATTTTTCTGTGCTTGGGATTTCTTGGAAACGCTGAAGTGTTGTACCTTTACAAATACAAGATGCCGCAAACAGAGGAACGGTTCTTCATACCACATTTAGCCGTGGCAGATCTGCTTTCCTCCGTGTGTTTAGCTTCACTAGGAATTACTATTAACTACAATTACATTCATTTTCCACATGAAGTCTTGTGCCAATTTCTTCATTATATTTCTTGGGTGACAACATCCTGGTCAGCCTTTATCCTTTTGATGATTTCAATCAGCAGATATGTGAAAATTTGTCGTCCCAATGGAAAACAGATGTCATTTTTCGCCAAGAAATGCGCCGTTGGCTGTTGTCTGATTTTTGCAATCATTAACACAGTTCCGGTTGGTTATTTTGCTGGATATCGATATCAGGATGTCAGTTGTTTGCAAAACAATGTTACAGTGAAGATGTGCGAATTAAGGGAATTCAAAGGAACAACACACATATTAAAAATGGTTTATATTTTCTTTGAAATATTTGTTCTTTTTTCCAATGTTGGTATCACTGCAGCATTGTATATTCCAATTGGCCTTCAGATTTTCCGACGATTTAAAGGAAGAACTGATACAAAATTTAAGTATCATGTAAATAATGTACAAAGCGAAGTAAAAATAGATTCAGCAGATGATGAATTAGGGTTTTCAAAAGAAATATCTGCGACATACATAGAAATGACTAGTGTAGGTCCATTGAACAAAACTGAGTCTAAAGCCGAGGAGATGTCAATTGAGATGAAAGATAAAGAATCACCAGATAATTTTGATTCAGAAGTGGGAATAAAAGTCGTAAAATCGGAAATTAAAGGAACAGAAAATTCAAACACTAAAACTGGCCTTAATAATGAACTAAGGGCAAACCAAGGTTCTCTGTCGGATACTGGAAATTCCAGCCAAGCCCCGGGAAAAAAGTCAGATGTCAATACAACTGGAAAAAAGAAATCAAGCATACGAAAGAAAAGGAATAAAAATGTCAGAAATAACTTCACTTACATGTTTATTACTATTATTGCATTTTATATTTTATCGTATCTTCCAACACTCGTGACTATACTCTTGGCAACGAACGATCCATTCTATTTCTGGTATTCAATGGATGTTGTCACTTTAAATGTGGTGATGTTAATGAGGCGATCATCTATTATTAACCACATTGTTAATCCTATCATCTATGGATACTTTGATTTAACATTCAGAAAAGCGTTTTTTAAGTTTCTCAGAAAAATACGCAAATAGATAACAATAACACATACACAAGATTAGTCCTATTTTAATAACTGTTATTATTTAAAAACATTTAGTATAATATAGTATACAAAAGGTATTCAAGAGGTTTGCATGCACAACAGGTATACAAGAAGACATGACCTTTTGTTACGGAAAGTATAACACATGCACGCGTATGTGGATTTTCTGACTGGACTCACTCTTTGCCTCTAAATTGTCATTTATAACGTGTATAATACTGCAGTTTCTTCACTACTAAAAGAAATCTATCATTATTTTATATTATACTGATCGTGTAGGAGAAAATTCATGAGTACTGCAGAACAATATATTAGAGAAAGTGTTGTCTATCGTATATGGATACAAAAAAAATAAAATAAAAACATTTAATTTAGTGCACATTGAATGTGGTGGAAAAGTTGTATGCTTAGCGAACTCTTTTATACTCCTAGACATATTGTGCTACATGTATGCATATAAGTATAGATGGAGTTTTAAACTTATATCAATAAATAGATAGAGTTTTATATTTTTTTTTAATCAATATTTTGCAACAAATACCTTTAAAATTCCATTTTTACTTACGTGGAAAACATTAAATTTCCGGACAGGTAAATTCCGGATATGAAAAGAAAATTATGTCGAAACTGAAAAAAAGCTAAAATATCGGAAATGAAATTAAAAAATTTCGGAAATGCTATGCAGATATCCGGAAATGAAATGCAGCGTATGCAAAATCTCCCTATAAGTCTAGGATATTGACAAAATTGAACTCGTAAATTTTCTTACCTGGTCATATATATTACGGAAGCCCGTTGAGGCCAGTTCAGAGAAAGAAGTAATTTTTATTGCGTTTAATCGCAATAATTACATGTATTGCGTTTAATCGCAATAACTATTGCGTTTAAAAGCAAAACATTGCGATTAATCACAATAATCATTGCGTTTAAACGCAAAGCACTTTGCGTTTAATCGCAAAAGATTGCGTTTAAACGCAATATTTTGCATTTAAACGCAATAATTATTGCGATTAAACGGAATTAATATTTTTGCGTTTAATCGCAATAATGTTTTGACTTATGTATATGTACATGTACATGTGCATATTATGTATATGTATATTCACAACCTTATCTTTGATCAAATACGTAAACACGAGAACACGAGAATTTTTGAGATGGATTCAAATGAAATCAAAAAATAGATCAAATGAAAACAGATTGGCCGACGTGTTAAAAGTCAAATTTTGTTTCATGATCCTGGGGTCTGGTTATATCGAATAATCTGGTCTAGAATAAGAGTCATTCCTTAAATTTACAAAACTTCTATATTTATAGATCGTAAATTGTCTTTTAATAATTTTTATCACAAGTTGACTTATGTTGTACTCTGCTATTATCAACTTCCCTTATTTATTTAGCAATATGCTAGTAATCCTTATCATCTGTTTATGGAGTTAATGTCACCTAGTTTATTGGATATGTAACTAAGAACAATTTTCTAAAACGAGACAAGCTATTACATGTAACAAACAAGTTGATGAAACAGGGATATCAATACTCTCGATTGGAGTGAAGATTTCGCAGGTTCTACTTGTTAGATGATCGATTTTACGTATAGGCTTTACCTCCTTCGATAAAAGTTCAAGTAGGCATGTTGTTCTACTCCAGTGATTTTTAAAGGAATGATGTAATTTTTCAATCTCTTGCCAGAGTTATCGTGTTGTAACAAAGCCTAATACAATGAAGCGCATTGAAGTGGTAAAATTTGCCGGTTGGATGAAACGTTCTGAGTCATGTTTTGAATGTCAATTATAAGATAATGACACGTCCATATTTTTAGAAACGAGAAAGAAATATTCGTCGTAATGTTTTAGGACACCCCATTCTTCGCGACAAGCAATATAAGTGACACTGAAATGAAGCTTTAAAAAAAATAGAAGAGATAGCAAGAGACTCTTCGCTTCTGTAAAACTCAAATTGCAACGAGGATTGCAAATGTAGATATTTTTGAACTTATCATGTCTGTTAAAGTTACCACAACACAAGTTTCGGTCGAACACGTGTTAACTCGTTTATTATATTTATGGAAGACCTGTTCTAGGTAATAGTAAGATCATATGAAGAGAAATCTTCGTCATGAAGAATGGGCGGAGCGAAGCGGAGCCCATTCTTCATGACGAAGATTTCTCTTCATATGATCTTACTGACTTAGAACAGAACCTCAGCCAATCGAATGAATGGATTTAAAATAAACTCCTCCCACGGATGTGTCATATATAATGCTCAACTTGACCGCTCGCTGTAGATATCGAGCAAGCAATCACTATCGAACACACGCGGTTTCAGAATGGACTCCAACCCATTCAGGTTAGCACGGGATTATATGAAATAGCTTGATTCAGGCACGTAGCAACAGGGGAGGGCACTTTTTTCAGATATAACTTTTACTATCGAAAATGTTCATTGAATGTTCACTGAAAGGCTGATTCCCCCCCCCCCCCTACGTTTTACTACAGTATATGAATATGAAGGTAATTTAATATGTACGGGAAAAATGGTACTGGAAGAAACTGGTATTGAAAAAAAGTTTTAAAAACGATGCTACGTAAGTAATTTACACAGGAAATGGCATGGGAAAGATATTAAAGCTACTGAACCATTGAATATCCTTGTAACAAGTACATCACTAACAAGAATCTATATTTTTGAAAATTGAATGTGTTAAGAGGACAAGGCCCTCGTCAGCAGGAGTGGGTATCGCTGTCTAGGGTCAAATAAAAATTTGATGAAAATTGTGACTTAAATCTGTCTTCAAAGACAAGGTTCGTCTCTGATATACATGACAATGGTTGTATTTTCTGTATGTACCGAAATGTGAAAAAGAATAATATTCAGAAAGGCGACAAAAGATTACAGTGGAAAAAATGTGTAGCAAGGCCTAGAAAATTTAAATATCATTGTAAACAGCACGTGGGTTTTGAATAGTTTCTCTTTGTGTGCTGAACAAAAACCAATGAAGACACACCCATATAACTGTCAAGTGAACCAATCAGACACCGTTAAATATTTCAGAAATAGAAGAATTCTTCACCATGAAGAATCGATTCTTCGCGAGAAATGGAAGCATTTGATTGGCTGAATATGTAGGTTATGTTCTAAAGGTATTCGAATAAACAAATTGACCGTTTTATCCATTTCTAAAGAAATGGGCGTGTCCTAAGATGACAATAAACTTTCTAAAGATAGCTCAAAACGTTCCATTTGAACGGAAAATTTTACCACTTCAATGCGCTTATTTGTATGCCCTCTCAGGTGAGAGATCTGTAACTTTTATTCATAATAGAATTTCATAATGCGTGTTTACTATTAGAACATGACTAATTTATGTATTTATAATTTTACTTATTTATTTTTGATAATTCGATTGTTTTGTTCTAAGATGTTCCCACTCGCAGAAATTATAGAGATTTTTTAATGACATATTCATCTAATTCAAATGTTGAACATTGTTTAATTATTACAGGGCAACCGCGGTATAATTTTACAGCTGTCGCCAGATAATTATCTGACGCTAGTCATATCATTAGTTTCTGGTTGCGGCGGCCGATAGAAACATCTGCATCGTTGGATACCCACGGTTGATCTTGATTTCACTCATCACTCGCGTTGCCCGCGTGGCGCTGTGGTAAGAGCGTCTTCTCTAGAGTCGCAAAGTGAGGAGTTGATGTGTTGCGGGTTCGAATCCTACTACATGGGAGGAGGTGGAGCCTGGGCCGGTCCTCCGGATGAGAGCGAATAAACCGAGGTCCCGTGTCGTAGTTGGTGCTGGCACGAAAAAGATCCCTCCCTGCTCAATGACCCTTAGTGCCGAGTATAGGACAAAATTTGCAGCTCTCCACCGGCCAGTGGTGGCGTCTATAAGTGAAAGTTTTCGAGAGGGACGTTAAACAACATAAACAAACAAACAAACAAAAAACTCATCACCCGTAGGAAAACTCGCCGAAAAATAATTATATGCGCTGGTCATTTGATTGGCTGTTGAACAAAGTCGTGATGAGTATAGGGTCTATAGATGGGATCACCTCCGACAATGTGAAACGCCTGATGAAATATTTTTCATCTTCCTGGCACCTATTTGCCTTTGTGCAATTGGATTGCTCATCTTTTTATTTACCTTTTGCACTCGTAAAACGGTATACACATACAGGCATGTTCATTTAGAGTTAACGTGGGTACTTTGAGTTAAGTTGCATAAACGTCCTTCCGTACACAATTTTAAACAACTGACGTCAAAGCTTCTATTTTCTGAAAACGGTTAACGAAAAGCAATCCATAAAAAGTAAGATAGTGCATTTCTTTATAGTAAATTCAATTAACCTTGCATTATATATCGTAACTGAAAGAAAAAGTTTGCAGTGTGCTAAATTTATATGCTTTGTTTAACATGTTTAACCACTTTTTTAAATTTATAAAATATTGATCATAGTCTCGAGGCTCAAATTCTACAAATCGATAAAATATCAACGTTTTGGCTTAACATTTAAATTTGATGTAATAACATGTAATCTATTATATTTAAGGGATAAATTTACAAAACACTTCTGAACATTTGTACAAAATGAATTAATATCTAAAACAGAAAGTGAAAATGGTTGAAAAATGTATCTGTGTATGGAAACACTGAACTGAAACGTGTAAAATATGAGTACATGCATAAATATTTGGTAAACTTCATTTTTCGAACTTCAAATCAATATTTTAAACATCACAATTATTTTGAATAAAAAATTAACAAAATTGAACAACTAATTTATGCAACATTAATTGTTTAAGGAATCATGCACTGTCTAGTTTCGGCATCAACGATAGTGGGAAACATGGGATAATTTGCATAACGGGCGAGACTAACTATTAGTTAATGGAACAATGTAAAGGAGTTTTAATTCTTATCTGTAAATCTTGAAACATTTATTTCAGATAAGAATCATGGCGGAAGCATGCCCACCTTCCTTTGACTCTCATTCATTCATATCTAAATGTCCGACATCTCGAAACGGTTGGAAGGAAAGAGCCTTGCTAAAGAATTGCTCTGCTTTCCCTCAGACATGTAAAAGACCTTTAGAGTATCATTGTTTATTAAATGCATACAGAAATAGGAGCGTAGAGGTTTGTGCACCGAAGACGAGACTTGTCCAGCGTAAGTGATTTTAATTTTATTTAATTTTTTTTCTGAATATCTAGCATGCATTAAACAGCTACGATCATTTAAAAAAAAAATTGGATGCATGTAATCCAGTATTATGTATATTCATACAAAATGTGCTTTGTTTTAAAGGTAGCATTTTTTGTGTTTTTTATTTTCCCAACTATAGCAAGGAATTCATGTCTAATATATGTATACCTTAACACCTACTTGTATTTTTAGACATGATTATATATGTAAATGATCAACACGTATTTTCCTTTTTTGCTTCCCTTGGTTTTGAGCAATTTCATTTAGTTTAGCAATTTGTCTCATTTTCACGTCCCTTTATTTAATTTTGATATACATCTATTTATCATATTGTCAGATTACTCTTTTTTGTAGAATATTGTCCATCATACAGCCTTAACGCACAACGTATTACTGACCAATACAACTGCAGCACACTATTTCCAGACTGTCCAAAGCATCAGTATTACTCGACAGATGTCGTTAACTGTAAGATATCTAATTAGATAAATGTCAAAGAAGAAGGTATGGTTTTAGCTTTATTGTGCCCTAAAAATGTAATGGCATCAAAAAGTTTTGAAACTGGCTTAAATATTAGTTAAATAAATCACTATGATAAATCAGGAAAGAATATGGCATGAAGGTTTACCATTCTGCAAATATGACATCATTAATGTGAAGCATTTCTCTATTTTCAACAGAAAAAGCCTCAAAATGGCACATTTCAAATGTGATTTTCCTTTAGAAAACAGTGTCCACAGCCGTCGCCCACGTTAGTTTTTTGATATTTTGTGCAAAATTCAATAACAAATCACATATCTCAAGATCAGGCGCGGATCCAGAAATTTTTTCCAGGGGGGGTCCACCCCAGTAAGAAAAAAAAATCCAATCCCAGAAATTTATTGACAAGAAAAAAAAAAAAAAAAACAAAAACAAAAAACAAAAACAAAAACAAAAAAAAACCAACCTAAACTCGCCCAAACTTCAAAAACCTATTTCGTGGGGGGGGGGGGGGGGGGGTGACTTCTATTGCCTCAAATCTTTCACTTTTCATACCCATTTCACACATATTCGCGTTTACCAGGGGGGGTCAGCGTTTTCCAGGGGGGTCCATGGTAACTTTTTTCTTGTTTTAGTATATACATTTTTTAACCTGGTAAATTCCAGGGGGGGGTCCTGACCCCCCCGACCCCCCTCTAGATCCGCGCATGAAGATCTTTGTGGGCGATGCCTGTGGACAATGTTATCTAACAGAAAATTCCATTGAAAATTGCTCTTCTGCAATTTTTTAACAAAATACGGGAAAATGCACATGTTTATGACGTCATAATTAGCATTTAAAAGCACATGTGAGAGAAATGATTTGTATGATTTTTCTGCATTGAATTTCAATTATAAAAAAAAAAAATGAGTTTTCAACGTTTACACCAGTTTCATTTTTTTGAAAATCACAGGGCAAAATTTGTATGGAAACCATACCTTCTTCTTTATAAAAAATTTTGAACTCTTTTTAAAAAATGAATTACAGAAGACAATTATTTTTCTTTTTTAGATACAGGATGCTTGCAGGAGCTTTCGTAAGTTTTGTCAAAAAAATGACGCATGCACTTTCATATTGTAAATTGCCTTCCCATTCTACTTGTAACCAACATTATGATTATACAATCATGTTATTTGGAATTTTTACTCAAGATTGTGCACTCAATCTGATATAAAAAAAAATGCAAGCCCATTATTTTTATTTTTTTCAGATTTAAACTAGCTTTGAACACTTAGTGAATTGACTTCAAATGTATTTTATTAGTAATTTTATTTGTAATAATACAAATACGTTCAAACAAATCTTCCGGAAAACGTGCACAATATGAATATATATGTGCTACATAGTTCTTATTACGAATTAAAGTTTTACATTAACTATAAACAGGTTATAAAATTCAATAGCCAGAAAATATATATTATATCTTCACATTTAAATTTAAATTGCTAATCTTGACGATGTATAAAAAAAGCAACTAATATAACGCGGAGATAACGAACAGTAATCAAATTCAAAGGTCCATTGAAAGAATACAGTTTTGGAGCAGAGCATACATGAACCTCTACAAATATGAGAGATGGATCAGGTGCCATTGAGGCGTGAGCATTCCAAGTCTATTCGTCAAACCAGCCATTTGTTTCCTGAAAAAATCCGTAATCTGTAAAAAATAATTGTCAAGCAATTTGTATGAGAGTTAGTCAATATTCGAATTATTGTTGTTTAATTAATTTGCATGGTTGATCATACATGTATTTTTTTCTCTCACTTAATTGGCAATATTTAAGCTATTTTCCGTTGAAATATACATGTATATGATCGATTGTATTTGTTAACATGGTCATTGTATCGGCAAAAGAAGTTGCTTCTGTTGCCTTTCATATTTAAATGCAAAGTAGTATTGATATATATCTATATATATTATATTTTTGTCTAGTAGCAGAGCAAATACTACAGCAACATCCAGTCAATCATTTGAAAGTAACCAGGACCTATATTTTCTCTTTTTCTTGCTATTCCTCCCGCTTGCAGCGCTGATTGGAATATATATTTGGTGGAAGAGTTGAGTTTAAATAATATATACTTAATAAACTTTTCTTTCTATTGTTATATATTATAACTATCATCATCTTTTTTGTTAATATCTATTAAAATATCAAACTATTTACTACTGGAAAAATATATTTAAAACACAAAGGGCGTTTATTACAAGCGATTCAATCTCATTATATACTTGATTAAAAAATATTCTAAAAAATATTGCCAATACTGAGGAAAAATAAAATAAATACATCTAATCATCGACTCTCTGTAATTTGTTAATGTATGGTATAATGTATAACTGTATACAATAACAAATATATTATTTCATGCAGAAAGAACAGCCGCAAAATGTAAACTAGGAAGCAGAAATCGCTTGATAAAAAGTAAGGAGGATAAATTTAGTGGATGCTGTATTGAAATCAGAAGATTTCTGACCCAACATCGGGACAGTAAGTAACATTTTACTTTGTTATTATTCTATTAGCACTTCTTAAAAGAACTGTTTTTAAGGGAATTCTTATCATGTAAAATAAAAATGAATAGCATAAAAATTAATAACGTTAAATTAAATAAAATAATCTGATAGATTTTTTTTTTTTGCTATTTCAAAGGGTTAATACAAATATAATTTTAATTGTTTATAAGTTTGCTGATTTATATATCGATTTTTATTAAATTTATAATATTGATTTTTTTAAAACATTCCCTTGATATTAACTTAAATACTTAGGTTTCTAAGCTTGGTGTACTAGTTCTTTATTGTTTTTCAAAGCGAAACATTTACGCATGATTAATTTCCTCACAAAAATAAACCAGCTGAGATTAAGATTAGCGTCAAACTCCTGAATTTAAAAATCATTTATTTACATATAAAACTGTCATGTAATATTGTATTTGGTATTGTATATATATATATATATATATATATATATATATATATATATATATATATATATATATATATATATATATATATATATATATATATATATATATATATATATATATATATATATATATATATATATATAAGAAATACAAAGCATTAGTGTATATGAAAAATACGAAACATTATTATGAAGAAGGATATACGAACCATTGGAAATGTGAACTGTTAATAGCCATTGTGGCAACGCACTTTGAAAAAATTACGCACTTTGAAAAAAATTTTCAAAGTGCGTTAAAATTGGGACAAAATCAACGCACTTTGAAAATTTTTTTCAAAGTGCGTTAAATTTGGGACCAACTCAACGCACTTTGAAAAAAATTTTTAAAGTGCGTTAAGAGTCTTCATCATTATATTTTACCATGGAGACACTTAACGCACTTTGAAAAAAAAAAATCATATTTTTGTAATGGAAAGATTTTATTTGTTATTTAATTCTCAAAAACTTATGAATTGATAAACTCCCGTCGAAAAAAGGAGAAGACAGGTATAAGATCCCTCAGTCCAAATCTTTATCTTTTGAATACATAGGTGTTGGTAACAAACGGGGAAGGGGAGCAATAAACGCAAAAGGGGAAGCTGCATTTTCAATGCTTATACGATGTATATATCTTTCCAGAATAAGTGGGGGGCTAAGCCCCTCCTCCCCTGGCCTATTGCCCGGTCTCGATGTCTATGCTATACTCAAAATATTTATATAATTATGTACCTATCTAGTATGAGGTTGAAAACTTTCAATATTAAATGAGTTAATTAATACAGGTGAAAACTAGAAATATTGAAGTACAGTACTAGTAAAACGTTTGAGAAAGAAAGAATCTTCATTTTTTTGAACAATCAAATTGCCCCCTTTCTATCATGATAAATGCTAAGTTTCTTTAAACTGTCCTCTGTTAGTGCCCCCTTTACAGCTTTACATATACTTATCAAAGACTAGAATTTAAAGAAAAGAAAGAAACGAATTAGTGATCTTAAACAATCGTCACTCTTTATTTCAAGACCTCTTTCCCTTTTATTTTATCAAAACCTCAAATATTTAAAACGTCAACTTCTCAGGTCCTGAAGTGACTTGATCATAAAAAAAAAATCATCCATCCAGGATCTGTTATTTATCATACCAATTATTTGTAAGAATATTGATCAATCTACATTTTTTTCAAAGTGCGTCAATATGGTCGATATCAACGCACTTTGAAAAAAAAATAATTTTTTCAAAGTGCGTTTTAGCTTGGTCCCAAATTTAACGCACTTTGAAAATTTTTTTCAAAGTGCGTAATTTTTCAAAGTGCGTTGTAACAAGCCATTCTCTGTAAGCATTTAAACTCTTATATAGGGAGTGTGGCACGCATGGTCTTGGATTTTTATGAAACTTGGCATACATTCCTGTATTGATGTATGTACCTAAAACTCATAATAAAATGGTTGCTATGATCCATGGTTACCATGGCAACCAACATACATTTTTCATGGCCTAAAATCGCTAAATTTTGATAAAAAAAATGACCCTTTTTGACTTATTAAAAGTCTTTAATGGAACAAGCTATCAACATGACTTTACCTTTTTGCAAAAATACATCATTTTACAGTGCTTTAGAAAATTTTTAGTATTTCAGTAACTTTTTCCTCATAGAAAAAATATCCCTCATTTATAGGTAGGATTTTTCTTGTGGAAAATTGTAGATTTTAGGCTCTTTTGAAAAGCCTGGTATAAATTTTTGCGGATAGTTTGGAAAAAATGAATACATTGGTTTGAAAGTCCACATGTAGTTCTAATATACACTACAAAGAACTACTTGGTATTCATATTTAGTTTTCATGTTACCATGGTTACAAACTTATGCTTTTTTCAAAATCCTAGAAAAGAACAATACGTAGATACAATCAGGATCCATGTAATTGCCTGAGTATTTTAAAATGGATTAAATCAAATTTAGATATATCGTAAACAATAGCAAAAACAAAGCAAAAAATCAATTTTAATGACTAAGGGTCAAAGGTCAAGGTCAAAATGGCCGATTTTGATAGATATTTAAGAAAACTAAACGACATTTTTTCTGTGTCATAACTAATACTTGTGTTTTAAACAACAAATGAAGAAACAAAGTTACAGTTCTGGTCAACAATAACTAGCATAATATGAATGTGTGCCCATATGGACAGAAGGTCAAAGTTCAAGGTCACAGTGGTATATAAAGAATTATGCACGCTAACTCTCAATTCCCGCCTACATTTTGCTACCATATAATTCAATATTAATGGCAATTTAGCCATAAAATCTTTATTAAATATAAAAAAAACAGTTCAATGGTATTTGATTCATTATTTTAATACCAGTGCTAAATAGAACATTATCCCTTATTCCAACTCTTGAAATGGGTGGGTGGGTGGGTGGGGGTGGGAGTCGATGATATTTTCCATTTAAATCGGACTTTCAAGCATCACCATATTTTGAAAAAATCTTGGATATATTTAAATGTTACGCAGATTTTTTCTCATGTTTTACGCAAATAAGTAAAACATTCTAGTATATATATTAATAAAATATACAGTTTTAGCTGTAAATCACTTTGAAATTTGGAAAAAATAAGCATTTATTTTCGTGTTTTTTTTTGTCTATAAAAATAACCCCCCCTCCCTCTGTCTGTTTTAACATTTTATTATCATGGGATATCTTAAGGAGCCTATGATCTTTTTCAATTTGAGTTTATATCACAACTTGCTTTGGCTTAAAATGACCCTTTATTTCTAGGTCAAAAGGTAAAGGTAGAAAAAGACACTGTTTGTATGAAAACCTCTCATTTCCGAGCGATAACTCAAAAAAGCGTTTCGGTTAGCTCTTTTTTGTTCATAACTCTCTATGGTCCCGCCCGCCCCACTTTAAGTGTCCCATCCCCTACCCCACCACCCTCCGACACCCCACCCCCTTCTTAATCTACAGAAATTCTTATCTCCTTAAGCAGGGGACACATATTCTTTGAATTAGCTTGTTAATAATGCATTTATACTCGGTTATTCGGAATACTGGTATTGTAAATGTTGTATCCTGACCTCGATCCCGTATATTGAATGTATTTTATTGAAAACTGGTTTTACATTCTCCCTTTAGCTTGATGCATAATTTGAAAATGCTTATATAAGTACAGTTTTCAGGTTTTATTGATATAAAGGTAGGCCTTTAAGTTTATTGGACGACTATACACTTTCCATATTGAGTGCAAGACTTCTTGTATGTAGAGAATTGCGCTACAAGCATGTAAAGACACTCTCCTGCTGTTTTAGTAAACTAATCCCTTGCTCCTAAATGTACATTTTTAAACCATATTTAACAATCCGAACTTTTTAAGTGACAGTCAAAATGTGTTTTCCAGTGACTTTTTTTCAGAGAAGTTGACGAAAAATCTAATTTACTTTGAAATATCATTCTTAAAAAAAAATGACATTTTAGCGATGATGATGGTAAATATTTCAACACAAATATGCCTGGATCTACGCAAAAGATCTGATATTCCCAAAGTTAAATCAATAATAATCTGTTGTAAACGTCTGCTGGACCTGTTCGAATAATCTGCTATTGTGCTTTAATTAATTGTTGTTTTTTTTTTTTTTTTGGGGGGGGGGGGGGGGGGGTCAGAAAATTATTTTCATTATTAATAAAATACTGCTAGACAGGTTTAATATTGTACTGCTATGAGTTTAAATCATAATGTATCTTAGTCCAGAGAAATGATAAACCGTTAACTTTAAATTTGATTCACAGACAATTTGTATTTCTATGCAACTACCCCAATCATCAAAAGTATATTTTTGACTGGTTAACAAAACATTTTATACACTGTACTTGTTTATCCTGTTTGAAAACTACATAATATGACTGCGTTTACTATGGGCTAGGGGACGACCTTTGATCCAGAAGGGGGGGGATTAAGTTAGGTTTATTTTCATGGCAGGACATATCATTTATTTTCAAGATGATCTTTAGGGAAAATTATTAATTTTCTTCTTCACAGAAAAAAATCTGAAGAGCAAAGAAAAAAAGAACAATAACAATATATTATAAAATGCCCAAACTCTTTTTCATTTAGGAAGGGGGGGGGGACTTGTATAGGTAACAATTTTCTAACCCCTATATAAATGTATTATACCATGGGTTTCAAAAAATATTGCTGATGACCTGTGGATGGGAATTGTAGCTATTATTCAGTGTATTTTTTCTTCCTTTCAGCCAAGGACATATTCAGTTTTTAAAAAATTATTAGTCTCTATAATAACATTCAGTTTAAAAATTCATTTGCTTTCTTACGCTGTATTCATTGCAGTCCCCCAGTATATCACTCTGACTGATCGTAAGACACAGTAATTCTTAACAAAAATTAAATTCATAATACAAGTAATTCTGATATTTCAAGTTTATCTTAAATCCCGTTTTGAAACTCCTTAGACCTTGAGACTAATGCTTATGTACAGAGCTGATTTCCTAAACTATGTAGTCTAGCTTGTACATGTCACCATTTTTCACATATCAAAATTATTCTTTTGCATGTAAGATATAAACAGAGGCTAAAATTTGTATGCAAATTAAATAAACAGGAAAAACAGTTGATTTTACTTGAATTCTTGGATAAACAGAGCTGTATGCTGACAATATGTAAACAACTTCCAGTCATTTTTTTATCTTTCTCACTGAAGAGCTCACAATTATCAAAGGGAGATAATTCAATTTCAAAGTTATTGTCTGCTATTTTAATCAAAGAATTCTCATATTTATAGAGAGAATACCAACAAAGTTTTAACATGCCTTTCAAAGTTAGATGTTATATTTCTTATTTCTGTGAGTAACATGAATTGAAGTAGCTGCATTTCTTTAAAAAACTTTCCCAAATATTGCATTTTTTCACAAAAAATCAACTTTAGACACCGTTTCCATGGTAACTATTCAACATTCATATGATCTAACTATATTTTTTGAAGAAATTTATGAGGTGGTACTTTCCAGCCAAATTTGAAAAAAATCTGTGACTATGCGTGCCACAAAAGTTTAAGTGGTTACAGAGAATGGGTATTAAAGGTTGCAAGGAGGGAAAAGAGGGTCAATAACCAATGGTCATTCCCGCCATGACCTCACTGTAAGGATCAGGGAAATAAGAAAATTATTATATGGTCAAAATTTTAATAAACTTGAATGTTCAAAGAATGCGTGTTTTGCTTGTTATGGTAACATTAAGATATAAATAAAACTATAGTTGGGCATTTTTAAAAACTTTATCCTAACATTATACATAGAAACCTTTTCTCCTGTATATACATGAAAAATCTAAATTTTTTTGACAGACCAAAATGATGAACAAAAAGGTGTGGTCGATTTATCAGCCCATGAGACAGAAAATACCACGGAAACACGAGATGATTATGATGGCGAAAACACAGAGTGTATTATTCCATTCATACAATTACCCAATTCGGTAGCTAAACCATTTCAAAATGATTCTGAATTAGTAGAAGAACTACCTCAGTTTGAAGAAGCAGTGAATGAAGAAGATGGAAGACATGCGTGTAATGGTGAAATTGATGATGTCCATTGCAAAGATGATAAAAACCCAGTGAAACCTAATCCAAAAAATATGGCAGAAAATATCAAAGATCCTATTCATAAGCAAAATATTTATGAAAAAGAAGACGTAGAACTATCTGAAAAGGAGCAGAAAAACAGAAAAGAGTTTGGAAAATCATCTTGCATCGGTGAAGGTAGAATTGATACAAATAAGGAAACAATAAAGATATTTGATTGAAAAACTGTATCCCGGTGTTCTTTACAGATGGACGAAATGGTCTTTATATATAATAATAATACGTATTATGTGCATCTAAGATGCTAGCGGAAAGAACTTTTGCTTTGAGTCAGAATATGGATAAATTTACACTGAAGATTTATATCGTTTTTTTCCTTTTGAGTACGATGCAAAAAAATGTTTTTTTTAATGTTTACTAAATTGTCATTTAACAACGGAATAATTTCAGAGGAAATCACAGTTGCGGAGAATCATTGTGGAATGTTAACAGGGGATTCTGTTGAGGATGATGTTCTAATGAGTGACGTGGTCCATGGAAACCAGCTCGCCGTACAGCCTCCAACAATGGTAGAAAATGATGAGCAACATATTATGGACCATTTCCAGAAGAACACAGGGTCATTCAGCATTAGTGATACCCCCTGTTCACAGAATGACAAGACTAAAACTAAAGATTGTGAAGAAGATCAAAGAAAATCTAATGAAGGTAAAGTGCTTTCATCTCCAGGTATACCATTACATTTTTACAATTTTCATCTATTTGCCATTAATTTAATGGAAACTTTTCAGAGGACTATGACTATAATTATCAAATATTTGCAGATTGTTTAGAAAAGGAGAGTAGGCAAATCTCAGAAACTGATACCGATAAAACTGTAATGGACCTTAAGGAAGAAATTGGAAATCTTTCAAATTCATTTTCAACGGCCTTCCCGGGTAAATGTCAAAATTTTAATTTACATTTACATCACACAGCTGTTCTAATATAACAAAATTTATATTTATTTCAGAATATAGTCATGTTTTCATTTAATTTTTCACCTTTTTTTTTACATATTAAAATTTATTTATTTATTTGTGCATTTATTCTTAATATCGTTATCAATCTTGCTTGACTTTGAAGCTAATTTTATGCATGTTGATCATTCCTCCATATTATAAACTGTGAGGTTTTTACACATAAAAACAGTTAAAACAATACGAGCTGGATGTTTGACATCGGAAAATTTTATGGCAAATTTGTAATTAACTGATTTAATGACAGAAAATAAATCATTTATAAACTTTTGTTATTAGTATTTTCGATGGAATTTTTTTTTTAGCTTTGATTGAAGCAAAATTGAATTATTGTCGTCCTGTACAATAATGGTTTCTTATATAAAACTGTATATTCGGTTGTACAGAAATTTTTCTTCTGAAACATTTTTAAACTTTATTTTGGCCTTATTGGCCATAAGGGTTTCAATTACATACTAATTAATCATAATAACACATTTTACCAGCAAAACAAAATTCTTAAAGGTACAGCTCACATTGCTTAAAGAATCAAGCAGGAAACGTTTTGCTAGAAAAACTCAAAACTAATTTTTACAGTCCCTTTTCCTTGTTTCACAATCGAATTTATTTATCTATCTTTTTTTTTAGATCATGACAAACTTCACAAAAAAACTATTAACACAGCAACATCAACTGAAACTTGCGAAGGTCGCGAATCAACTGTAAACGATGAAAATCAGCTTCAAAACACACTGAAGGAAGTGTTACCCAGTGTCATAGAAGAAGTCATCGCAAAATTAGGCAGCAAATTTAGGTAAGCAATACCAATAGCAGAAAGCACAGATTTTAAACAGAATGCACTCACACACACACAGAAGCATGCATGATTTAGACAATTACTGATGTAATAAATACCAATAACACACTTTTTTCGTTCTTTCCTTGAACAGTCATAAATCTCACTTTTATCAGGCTTCTTTTGTCAAGGACAACTGATATTATCCATCGAACTGGATATTACTAACAAAGAATTTACAAAACTCAAAAATTAATGTAACTTTCTTTCATAAAAAGTAGCTCTAACTTTGATACTTTGTAAGCTTTAGTCCACTATAGCGATTGTTTTAAGAATTTGCGATTGATTTTTTAAAGATTTTTTTTAAATTATCAGCTCAAAAAACTTTCTGATATGACATGTTTTTTGTAAGATAATTAAATGCGAATTTTAAAAATACAATAATTTATAGCAACAAACATAGTGCATTCATGATAAAAAAACATTTTCATATTTCTTTTTCAGTGAAGGAAAAGAATTTCAGTGTATACTAGGTAATTAAGGCTATCTACAATTATAAGTACTTCAGATTCTTGCATTAATGATTATATTACAATATTTTATTTCAAATGAAGTATGTTTACGTTTTGAATAAGAAAATTTGATATATTTTCAATGAAGAAGCTTTCTGTTGTTTTTGCCATGTTCTTGGAATATCTTGAGAAAATTTTTCGGAATTGACCATGATTTATAATTAAGTATTGATGATAATTGTATAGACATAGTGGCTTAATCATGGTATGCTCCTGAAGTATAAATGACAATGAATGATAGACAAAACAAATGAATGAAATGGATTTGACCGGCCTCTTTATGATCGAAGAGGAAGTCACTATCGCAAATACCTAACTCTAAGAGTCTAAAAATTGTTTTCAATTTCAGAGGATCAATCATGGACACCAGCCCAGGTATTTTTCCTTACTAAAAATTAATAGGTTTGACGAAAAGATAATGATTACAAATAAACAAACTTCATTTAATGAGTACCGAGATATAGAATGTAACTCAAAAGCATTAGAACATGAAGTTTAATACTGTACGTTTAGTGTACAATTAATATGGTCTACCGGGTATCTAAGAATTCCCTAATTATGCAGTTATTTTAAAATTCATATTTGTTTTAAAGAGAAAAGAAATCAGGAATATTCGAGAGAGAATAAAGAAAATAGAGAAGTCACAGAATGAAATATGTGAACTAAGAAAACAAATCTTAACCTTACAAACTGAAAAGAAATCTTTGGAAGAAACGATGGACGGCATACAAAAGAGATTACATGAAATACAATCAGAAAAAGGCGACGAAATTCACAAACTTAAGACTGAACTCAAGAAAACAAAGAATTTGTTGAGAAAAAAAGAAGAAGAACTTATAAAAATGAAGCATGAAATGCAGGAAAAAGATGTGGAAAATGCACATCTTAGAGAGGAATTGAGAAAAATCAAAGAAGTGGAAACTGACCCAGACTCTGTAAATAAGAAAAGGTTCACTTAAAACGATCATAAGTATCTTCTCTTTCAAAACAATCTACATGGTATCGGAAAGTAGACCAATTCTTTGGGAGAGACAGTAATTTCTTGAGACATGTTTGTTCTGTTTATGTAGTGAATTACATTCATTTAAAAAAACATTTAGCTCATATGACTTTCTTCTTTAAATCTTTTTAACTTCATATTATTAGGGTTGGATGTACAATTCATCTGGAGTAGGAATTAGATATCCTATTAAATTATGATAACGTTCCTAAATGCCTCATCAATGTACATGTACTTTTATTTCATATCAAAATGGTCCCAAAGACAGTGGTTCAATTTGGGGATTTTAGTTATGTTTTTTGACAAAGTGAGATCGAACATACTGCATGAGATGTATATTAACATGGAACTGAATTTATTTTGTTTTAAACAGATACTAGTAATTGTCCAAGTGCAGTATACAATGCTAGAATTCTAAAGAATGTACACGTGTGTGTTATAAAAAAAATTTGAGTTGTAAATTATTCAAGATTACCTTATTTATCTTTCCTTTTTTTGAACTAGAAGTGTAAATATTTATTCGCAGTAAAGAGGTGAGGTTTCAATGAATGTCATATATGTGACCAAGCCCAATATTTAAAAAGGGGTTGTGCCGTTGAACATTACAATTTGCTTAAAAAATTATTTCTTCATTGGCAAATGGCAAAAAACAAAAAATATGGTAACACCAGTGACAGAGACTGGTCATTGTGGCGAAAGAATAATGAGAGCTACATGAGGTGTACTGTCATTTAATCATTTAAAGAATAAGTGATTCATGTAGATATGTAGATACTTTAAAAATAATATACTCACCGTCAATAGAAACGCAACACCCTAATTTTAGGGGTGAAAATGATATACGGGATATAACTATGTACCAAAAAAGTTAGGACATCTTCTACTTTGCCAAATCAGTTATTTAACGGTTGAATGATTTTCATTCCATGACCGGAAGTTGAGTTTTAGCCCCCTGAACAGAAATAAAAAATTAGCATTTTTAATAAAATTATTGTCAATATTTTGGGTTTTCAAGGTTTTGTACCTGTTAATCATAAGTCTTGTACTAAAAGTCCGGAAAAAAAATCCTTCTTTCTCTTCCGGATGTTATGCCTGTATTCCCTTAAAGTAAGTGAAAGCACGCATTTTCGTTGCTAATGTTGGAAATTTTCAAAATAAAGAAAAGGGAGAGATACAGATGCAAATATACACTACATAACGACTTTTCGGGCTCATGTGTTTCAAAAGCATGAATGACATTTCCTTGACCGGAAGTCCAAGGGTTACTATACCACGCCAAGTTAGAGAAAATTCGACCTCAGTATCTGAAAAACAGGCATTTAAAAAAGGACAAGAATATTTATTTCGCTCAGATTAAGACATTGATAAACTTAATGCATGGTAGAATTCGGGCTGCTTATGTTGTACATGGCGGACTAGCACGTTTTAATTGAATAGTCGGAAGGGGGGATGTTTTAGAGTTATGCGTTACTTTATAAGGTTTAAAGATAAGATTAAGAATGAATACATCAATGTAAAAAGTAAATTTACAAAACAATGATACTTCATTTAAACTTTAAATGTTATCTTTAACATTGAACGTATAATTTATGTCAAAGCATGGACCCCCCCCCCCCCTCCCGTGACCTCTTTTAATCGTATAGTGATAAACTACTAATCTTCGTAGTAGCGGATCCAGCGATTTTCAGATATTAAATGCAGAGGAAGACATAGTCCCCCTACTCCACCTTTCCCCCCACCCTAAGCCATACCAATGCAGGGGCAATTTTAAATGTTGATTTACATGCAAAAAATTAAAATACAGAATAATCAATATTTGATATGAGAAACACTATAGTGGCCAAAGAAAGATCTTTGATTTGATGTTGTTTTTTTTTTATAAATAATAATAAACATTATCTAGGGTCATTTATTTTAAATTCAGCTCTTGTTTCTGAAAACAAAATTGAAACCACTTCTTCATAATTCCAATCTTTATTTTATTTATTGATTCCCTGTGTTTTGATTGGACGAAAACAAATTCAAGAAAAAGTTTACACATCGATGAATTCTTCGATCAGAACTACTTTCTTGACTGTTGTAAAAACAATGAAAACAGATACTTCTAGTCCGTTTTATAGCTAAATTATGATTACAAGAAACTTGAAATAAAAAATGAATGAATGATCTAATGAATGAATGAAAAAGAGATAAACAGGACTGACAGACGGGAATATCATGTTTATGTCACTGTCGGATCACGAGTGTGAATTTTAAAAAATCGCTGATCATGCTGTCATTTTCTCGACGTTCCATATCAGCTCAGTTGGTATGGTTGTGATAGGAAAAAGAAACGTACCTCAGACCCTTGCCTTTTGAGCATCAAATTCATATGTTTACATCCTACAGATCCCATATTCTCCCTAAATCTTAGAACGAACCAGAGCAAATCGAGGAAGTCGTCGGTCTGCTACTTTCGTTATGACGTTGTTGTTTATGTCAACATGGCCATGGTCAAACACGAATTATTCTGGAGAATACGTGTATTTATGATATTTGTTGAGTTAAACAACAATCAATGAGTTTTTATAAGTTTATTTATTGATTGTTTTGACAATTTAGGGTGGATTTTATCGATATTCATCTTGTATACGTTTCTTTGCGGCATAAAGTATTCCTACGCCGTACAAAATAACGGATTGTATGGCGGCCTCAAAGGGAAATAATTTAAATAATTTAGAAAATTCGTAATTGGAATTATAAGAATTAAACGTTCTTTTTTCAGAATTTATCGATGTGTAAACTCTGCCTTTTTACTCACAAACTCACATAAAAGTGCGAACGCACTTTTATTCAACTTTGTGAGTAAAAAGGCAGAGTTTACACATCGATAAATTCTGAAAAAAGAACGTTTAATCCTATAATAATACTTTTGAAGAAAGCTAAGAATTATTTTTCACGTTATGCAAGTGCATAAAAATTATATACGCGCGGGTTTTATGTAGTGAAATGAATGTTTCTTAGGTTTTGAAATAAAAAAAAAACCTGAATAATATATATTGCTGCTACATGTAATACTTATACAAATATATGTATTGTATGCATCGACGTGCGGATTTGTTAAAGCGAACATGTGCATTTTATGTAAACACACACACGAGTTCTACATTGAATCCAGTTTAAAGAGTTATTAAATTTTTAATAATAATAGATAATTTCCCGTTTCAATTGAATGAATTTAACAAAGCGACAGAAAACTACATGTATGTCTTTAAAAAAAAAAGAAGAGAATTTTCCCCATTTCTCCCTGCCACTGATTCCCAATGACTGCATCTATTATGACGTCACAAATGACGTACACCGAGTAACGTCATGTACAACTGTGAACTCATAAGTTTGTTTTCCTTTGATTTCAGAAATGTAATTTTTAAATTCTTTGCCACATTTATTGCCTTCAATGAATAATTGACTGTTTTTTTCTATCATCATGTGTATTATCTATTTATTTGATGTCCTATGACCTACCAATGAATCACTGACTGTCACTCTAAAAAAAAAACCGATTCTTGATAACAAAGTTTAGATTTTACTCTAATTTCTTATTCTCGTCACAGTCACAAACAAGCATAATAATTGACATGAAAGTTTATATTTGCGATAGTCACACATATAGTAAGTTGAAAGTTGTACTTGTCTGTAAATCAATCTAATTTTGGAAAAAGAACTGTCGATAAATCGGCATTTTTAACAGATATGTTTTTAGACTGTTCAAAGCCATTATATTTATTCCAGTAGTCAGACGTGTCCATAGGTGCCTCAGTTGACATTTTCTTACTTGTGTGATATGAGTGTCCATCCACTTACATAATCAATATTATACACCTTTCTAATTGATCCTTTAAAGTTTGTATAAAAGACAAAGACAAATATGGTGGTTCATGATCATAGCATTTTTACACGCGTTGACATTTAATTTAATTTTTTTTTTACCATGAGCACACTCGTTACCGCAAAATATTTTCATTGGAAATTATTTGTCGAACAGTTATAATTATTTTTCTGTTTCAATATTTTGCGGTAACGACTGTGCTCTATGTGAAATTCACGATTTATTGTGTAAAATTTGAGCAATTTTCCGGAAAACCTCGAACTATGCTGCGTTTTAGAATTTAGTTTGACATCGTAACATCCGGTTTTGACGAAATTGGTGCACATGTGAAATGTGTCAATGTTCTATGTTGATAATAACCCACAACATATTTTCTAATGCCCTTTTCAAAATTTACATATTTGCTAGGCCAAATAAGGCATTTTGTGGATTGAATTCTTTGAACGAGAATAGCAGCCACGTAAAGACAATACATTATAAATATTTATGCTAAGTTTGAAATCCTGCAATCCTTTTGGATAACACTTTGCTTCAAGCGACATATGCTGCATATACCGGTATACTAACCGAAGGGATGGTTCTTTATCTAATCGAAAAATCTCATACATACAATTCTTGCATGCCTTTTTCCATATACATGCAGTGATTGGGATAAGCACGCGCCCTGCGCCATAGTCGCATTAAATTTTAAAATGTCACATTAAAATTAAAAACGCTGCGCCATCGTGGCGCATAATTATATAATCATGCACTACATACTTTTAAACTTTGAGATTTCCCCCAAGCGCTTGTACTTTCCCACAACAATCGCTGTCAATTTACGCTTGAAAAATTGTATTTAATGTCGTTCAGTTAAAGCGTTCTCATGACTTTCTTTTCCCTAGTATCTAATGAAACAGTTACGTGTTTTCTGATTGGCTAACACGCACGAAATAAAATGGTGTCAGGAGTGCAGCATGCTGCCTTAGAAAACACCTCATACTGGTAAAGGGCAGACTTTTCTCAATTTTAACAATCCTAACAAACAGAATTCAAGTAAATCGGTAGAAAATGACTGGGAACTTCGACAGAAGTATAACATGCTGACAAAACGAATGGAGATGAATCTGACGGTAAGGCTGATGATGTAGCCTCGGAGGAAAAACCAATACGAAAATTTAACATGAATTGGAGGGAAGCAATATAGATCTTAACCACGCTTTAAATCATTTTAAAGATGTCAAACATCGGAGACAAAAAATAAAGAATTGAAATTAAATTGCAGTGTTTATTTATTTTATCCTGCAACTACCCCTTGCATTGACCTAATAAAGGTAACCTAATAAACCAAAGCTTTATCCGGTCACTGCCCTAATAAAGCCTCGTGTATGTATTCTGACGTTCCAAAAGCATTGTGACGTCACGTATACTGCAATGTTTACGCCATGGCGTCATAGTTTCAACTGCAGAGATGTGCCTAAATCTGTCGGAATTAGCTTGTTTTGGACGCTCAAATGTAAAATTTTGTTGCAGGATAAACAAAATAAATGATAA